TGTGTGTGTGTGTGTGTGTGTGTGTGTGTGTGTGTGTGTGTGTGTGTGTGTGTGTGTGAGTGAGTGAGTGAGTGTGAGTGTGTGTGCGCGTGCGCGTGCGAGTGCGTGTCTGTGTCTGTGTCTGTGTATGCTGATAATGCATGTAATATCACACTCTTTCAGTCGGCAAATAACAGCAGCGCTGATGGTTCACCGCAGGAACAGAGTCTGAAGAAGAAACAGGCCGCTACGCTGGCCAGCATCAGAGATCTGATCAGTCAGGTACATACGGACCCTGTTTTCTGTCCTACAACATGCTCCTGTCTGATTGTGAACGATTCATCAGTGCGCATTACACACAGCCATTCAAAAATTTCATTTTATTCAGCAAAGATGCATTAAATTGATCAAAACTCACAGAAAAAAAAAAATTACAAAACATTTCATTGATTTGATGAAAAGGTAGTAATTAATTAAATCATAAAAATGCAAAAATAAATTAATCATTTAAAAATAAAAACTCAAAATAAATTAAAATAAAACAATTACTAATCATTAATTAAATCATACAAATGTCAAATTAAAACAAATAATTTTAAAACAAAATAAAACACTAATAATTGAATCATAAAAATGTAAAATTAAAATATTTTTAAAATAATAACAAACTAAAACACTAATAGTTAATTAAATCATAAAAATGGCAAATTAAAATAAATAATAAAATTTTTAAGAAATAATTTTATTCAGCAATGATGCATTAAATAAATTGATCAAAAGTGACAGTAAAGACATTTATAATGTTGCAACATATTTCTATCTCATTGAGTTTATGAAAACCTAATAATACCAAAAATTTTAATTAAAATAAATGAATTTTAAAATAAAAACAATCAAAATAAAACTACTAATCATGAATTGAGTGTAAAAATGTTAAATTAAATAATTTGAATGTAAACATTTATAATGTTACAAAATATTTTGATTTTAAATAAATGTTTCCCTTTTGACATTTCTATTCATCAAAGAATCCTAGAAAATAAAATGTATCACCGTTTCCACAAAAACATGAAGAAACAACTGTTTTCAACATTGATAATAATCAGAAATGTTTCTTGAGCAGCAAATCAGCATATTAGAATGATTTCTGAAGATCATGTGACACTGAAGACTGGAGTAATGATGCTGAAAATACAGCTTTGATCACAGAAATAAATTACAGCTTAACAGATTTTCACATAGAAATCAGCTGTTTTAAATTTTAATAATATTTCACAATATTACTGTTTTTACTGTATTTTTGATCAAATAAATGCAGCCTTGATGAGCAGAAGAGACTTCATTAAAAAAACTAACTTTTGGGGACTTTATTATAATTACATAAAAGGGATTTTATCATAACCAGACTTTATTAAAACCATCAAAATAACTTTCTCTCCCTATTCCCACTGAATATTGGGTTTTATTCAGAAATGCATCAGATAATGAAAGTTAAACGCATTAGGAATGCCTTTTCATTAAGTCAGATTTGGCCTATTCATTACTCTTCATTTCAGGAAGGACATTTTTGAACTTAATAATGTTGTGAATACTGTAATAACTGGAAGAGAATCCAATGACTAATTCAGCAACTGAATCATAAGCTCAATTTGACTGATATCTTTATCAATGAATCTTCCTGTTAATGTTGCTATAGGACCAGATGTGCTGTAAGCTGTAGTAACAGTTTTTATCATGCAGAAGTATTTTAGTTTGACATGCTTTGGTCTCAGACTCTTGCTGACGTGAGTTTCTGTATGACAGGAACAGACCAGAGTTTTTAAATAAAGCACTCAAATCTCTCAGAGCTGCTCGTGTCACTTCAGATAAACCATCTGTCTTCAGAGTGTTTCAACTCACAGTCATCAGCTCTCCACAGTTTTGTGAGATAATGTCAGAATTTGAACTAGTATTTATGACTTTAAGGATGGCCCTAGCAACCACATAGCAACACCCTAGAAACTCCATAGCAGCACACTAAAAGCATTTAAAACCACTTTGCAGCTGTAGATATTAATACTATTATTCAGCAAGGATGCATTAATTTGATCAAAAGTGTAAACATGTTTAAGGTTGCAAAAGATTTCTATTTCCATTTCGCTGAGTTGATAAAAAGCTAATTGATAATTAAATAATAAAAATGTCAAATTAAAATAAATTAATAATAATTTAAAAAAACATATAAAACAGTAAACGATTAAAAATGAAAAACGAATTATTATTCAAATCATAAAAATGTAAAATATAAATTTTAAAGCAAAAACTATTAAAATAAAAAAACGTTCAAATAATGAATTAATAATATAAATAAATTAATAATAATAATAATAAATAAATAATATAAAAATAATAAACGATCCCAAATAAAACACTAAAATGAATAATAATTAAATGTTTCAAAATATTTTTATTTCATTGAGTTGATGAAAAGCTAATAATTAATTAAATCAAAAAATATAAAATTAAAATAAATTACCAATTTAAAAAATAAAAACAATCAAAATTATACAACTACTAATCATAAAAATGTAAAATTAATTTATAAATAATTTAAAAACAAAACTATCAAAATAAAACACTTTCAATAATTAATCAAATCATAAATATGTAAAGTTCAAATACATTTTCAAATAAGATTTCTGAATTCAAACAAATTTTATACGAATTTAGGTATTTAGGAATATTTTGTTACTTTACTAAGTGGTCAGACTTTGGGGAAAGTTCACCCAAAAATGAAAATTCTGTCATCATTTACACTCCCTCATGTTGTTCTAAACCTGTATGAGTTTCTCTCTTCTGTTGAACACAAAATTAAGAATGCAGGTAACCAAACAGTTGCTACTATGTAACTCAGTGGCGACCGGCAACTGTTTGTTTCACATCTTCTTTTGTTCTCAACAGAAGAAACAACTGTTGGGTGATAAAATTATGACAGAATTTTCATTTTTGGATAAAATAAGGACGCACATGCAACCACTAGAAACACTCTAGCAACTGCATAGAAACCTAGAACCACTGTTAGCACTGTAGCTGTTAATAATAATATTAATATAGCGACACTGTAGTGACTGCTTATGTTTTGTAGTTACACGCTGTTGTTGTGAGGTTCGTCTTTAGATCAGGTTGATGTTCACTGGTGTCACTGACCGCTGCGCTCATTTCTTCACTTCTGTGTGCAGCTGAATAAAGATGCCGTGGCCGAACACGCCAAGAAGATGTGGTCTTTGCCCGGTGACCTGTCCGAGGCCGTCAACTCCTGCGTCCAGCCGCATTTCCCAGAGCTTGTGGAGAAAGCCGGAGAGAACCGCTCCGAAAACACCGGACAGTACAACCATGTGTTTGTAGGATGAATGAACAACAGGAGTTCGACTTTAATATTTACCATTTTGATTTATTTGACACTTGTTTATATTTTAGTATACACTGTGTTCTTTTCATTAGGTAAGACAAAACTAAGGACATGTTTGCTTTAATGCGAATTAATACTCAACGTCTCAGAAAAATCAGGGGGAAATTATAGAGCTGTCACGATTCCTCGATTCAATTAGAGTACTCGATTTTAAGGTCTATTCTAATTACCACCCAAAAAAATTATAATTATCCGAATACTCGATTAATCGTCAGAATAATCGACCGATTACTCGATTACCGAAATAATCGTTAGTGACAGTCCTGGAAAATTAGTGTGTCGAATGAAAAAATCTGTCAAGATCACATCAGGGCCATATTTCACTTCAAAATAAAAAGGAAAAATAAATTACATTTTGCATTAAGAAAATTTAATTATGGATGTTTTAGGACCATTAAATTTTTTTTTGCATTATGACTTATATTTTAGATTTTTTTCCACCAAATTCTCAATACTATAAAACAAAAATAAATATATATAATCCATCAGCTATATGATATGATTTTTTAATATATATATATATTCTTCATACTTATTTTGGTTTATTTTATTTTATTAGATAAAATTATGCCCGTTTTAGGACCATTAATATGAATATATATATATATATATATATATGTAGATTTTATTCGATTTCTTTTTCTACTTATTATGAAGTGAAATATGATTTTAACCCTAAGATTTGTTGCTTTTTTTTTTTGCATTTTGCATTTTGACATGTCCTCATTTTGCCCACCATTGTCGTACTGTAATGCATATACTCACACGCACAAATATTTATACTTATATGTCATGTTTATTACTTAGAGGTTAAGTCTAAGGGACCAGAATAATGTAATTTATGGCTATATGTTATTGACATTTATTTGAGTGACCAAACTGACTCACTGTGAAAAATGATATGACCAATAAGTTATGACAACATGTGTTTTTACATTACTTCAGCTCATCAAAATAAGTTAAGCAATTTTCAACTTTAATTTATAAGTTGTTCAATTCAACTCATTTTTTAAACCAGTTTAATGTAATTTAAGTTGAAATGACTTAAACAGCTAAGTTGATTGTACTTAAAAATTTAAGGCAGCAACTTATTTTTTTACAGTGCATAAACAAATATACTTTTCTGAGAGATGCACTATGGAGTTTTGTGTTGGTGGAGGTGATAGATGAACATAAAACACATTGGCATTGACAGCAAGCACTGTGTGCTACATAACTCTTACAGTTCACAGTTGGGCAGTCAATATCACTAAATAAACCCAGACCACGACTGACTGTATCTCGCTTATTACATATACTGACCTAATAAATAAATATGAAATACTGATGTGAGTGCAAATGATTTTATTATGCAAGTATAGAGCGTGTGGAGTGCTACTTTCCGCCTCTAATTTTACAGCTGTTAAGATTTCAATGAGGGTCTTAAAATAGCTGAATGGATTCTGGATGGCAGAATATTTATTTTTGGCAGAAACAGGGTTGTTATAGTTAACTCAGCCTACAGTAAAACTACAAAGACAGCTGTGAAAAACTTTTCTTAAACTTAAATCAAATGTTTTAAAAAGGGTCAACTTTATACTATTTTATTGCAGCTAGTTGCCAAGGCAACATTTCTTGTTTTCATTTAGTTTAACCTGATGTACACAAAAAAAGTAAAAACACAACAACAACAACAACAATAATAAACATTTTCTTTACTTGAAATAAAATATACTTTGACTGAAATAAAATAAAATAATAAAAAAAGCTAACTTTTTTTTTAATGATGTCTCCAGTCATATCCGAAGTCTAATATAATGTTCTGTGTTATATTTAGCAGTTCACTTCGTTGGTGCTGACATGTTGCGATTTTTTTGTGACCAGCCGAATACTTTGCATGCATGCATGCATAATTAATTAATTAATAGGTAGATTAATCATAACTGTGAATAGCCACCCAAAATATGAGAATACTGCAATCATTTACTCAAATCTCAATTGCAATTGAAATAAAATAAACTTTAGCTGAAATAAAATAAAAACGTAAACTTATTTTATCTCAGCCAAGGCAGCATTTCTCATTTTCATTAAGTTTAACTTCATGTACTAAAATGAATAAGACATATAAATAGACATATGGAGAAAAAACTCGTAAAAATGATTAATTAATAACAAAATTACTCAAACATAAATATAAATAAAAATATATAAATATAAAACTTAGTATCTCAGTACGTTAATCGTTTCTTTTTACTCTTTGTGTAAATTGTAAAATCTGTGAAGATTACATCCATGTTGTATTTCAATTCAAATAGAGAAAAAAATGCATTTTACATATATATTTTGATCACATCTTAGATTGTCTGATTCGGTCTGATATCCTACAACACACACACACATATTTTTGACACATTGTTTGATCGTGTTTCTGAACTCTGACACACTGATGTGTGGTTGAATGTCCTCTCACACTCACACTGAGATCTTCACTGACCATGATGGGTTCTCCTGCCCGCTGTTAGATAAAATGCTCATCAACAAACTTCATCTAGTCTGGTGCATGTGTGAGCGACAACGAGAAAGTACAGAAGACAATAGCTATGTCCGGAAACTTATGCTTGAGCTCTCTCGACTGAAGCAGCTCAGCTTTACTTGATTCTCCATCAATCATGTTTTAGAGTCTCAAATCTGATCCTCAGGATCTTTTGAGGAGCGTTTGTTTCCAGAAGCTTTACTTTCACTGTTCCTCAGCGGAGGAATGATCTTCACAAG